TTCAAGGTTTGGGGTTTTTTTAAGGCCTCCTGTACAAGAGGTTTTTTAAGACCTGATCCTTAAACTTGATGCTGCCCTGAGTGTAAGTTTGAAGTGTGAGATTCACATTCCTGACAAAGGAAAGGGGCGTTGGAACTTGACATTTATAAGGAAAGCTCTTACAAGGAAAGCCAGGTATAGTAAGTGTACATTGACAAATAAGGACTAAAATACAATGATTTATTGCCAAACGTATTTGGCAGCTTCTTTCCAGTTTAGGCTTGTTGGTCATCAGATACTTGTACATACTAGCATAAGATGAAATAACACGATTGGCTTTGACAGTTCTTAATTAGCTGATTGCAGGATTTCCCTGTTTTTATTTGTGTTGAAGGCACGGTTCTGTGCATGGGCTCCTCTTGGAGCTGCTGCAAACCTCCCTGTGGAGCTGTTTCAAGAGGAGCAGTGACTGCAACGTTCCATTGTCTTCCCGGGGCATGTTGAGCCATGTCAGCAGCAGCAGCAGCAGCTCAGCTTTTCCCTTTGCAGGGGCTGATTGGGGCCGATTTGTTCGCAGGTGGTGGCCCTGCTGCCCGGGGCTCCATTATCAGCTGCTGCAATGAACTGATTCCCTGGCAGCCCCTCCTGTCCCTGCTGCACTGGGTCTGCTGCAGTTTCAAGCACTCTGAGATTCACTCCTCCAGAGAAACACGATCACCTCGGGATTTTCTGACCCAGACAAGTGCAGACACCTCGGCAGGATCACGTACCAACCAGGGGAGTGACGCTCGCTCCCCAAAGCGTTCCCACTTCCCTTGAGGCACCCGTGGGTAAACAGCAGGATTGCTTCTGCTGGATGATCTCAAACCCTCCCAACTGTCTGCTGAGAACACTTGCCCATTGCAAGGAAATGACTGTTTGTTTGTGCTAGGAGTCAGGAATGGGAAATGACGTGAACACTTAACTGTTTTTCCTGGTGTTTCTAAGAGGTAAATTCAGTGTCTCGGGTCTTATTTCCAAAGGTGTTCAGTGTTTTCTGAAACTCTAGTATGTAAGTACCAGAGGTATGTGCATAGACATGAATATACATAAAATCAGGAAATATCTTCAAAATCTTGTGTATCCACCAGGTAACATTTTATTGGTGCCCTGCTGTGACTTATGCTGTAACATAATTTGATATGTTCTCCCTCAGTGCTGAACTGAAACAGTCCCCAGGTCTTTTTTTCATAACTGGGATAAATCTGTGATTCTGCAGTGTGCTCCAACCTCCCTGAAGGAGAAAGAAGTCAGAATTCACACTTGTCATCCTTATTTCACCCAAGCACCAGTTATCTACATCTGCTGAATTACTCTGTGCATTTAATCTTTTTTTTTCTGTGTATTGTTCCTCTGTTGCCTTGACAAAGAAATGGTCCAATGTTTAGTTTTTTTTTTCAACAATAATTTTTTGTTCTGATTTCTTTGATCAAGGTGTTTTTCTAAACCAATCATTTCCCTTGAAATTTCTTGAAAATGACTGCTGGCATCTGTGTCCTGTGTTGTCCCCTGCCATGCAGGCACTGTCCTGCAGGATGGGGCAGCTGCAGGTGTCAGACCTGGTTACAGCCACTCACTGACTCTGGGTTCCTACAGGTGAGATTGGCACTTCTGCACCTCTGCAACTGCCTGGCAAAACATCATCCCAGCCCATGACCAGAATTCCAAAACATAGGGGGGAAAAGGGTTTGTGTTGGGCTTTTTTGATCAGCTTGGGCACAACAAAATCTTTAGCCTGGCTGTTGGATGCTAAGATAAGGCACCACGTGGCACTTTTATGTCCCCAGCTTCTGCTCCACTCGCTCACCTTTCCCCAGGCAGCAGCAGGTTAAAGCACCTGGTGAAAATCAGAATTCACAGTGCAGGTACTGAGGAGCAGTGAAGCTACAAGAACAGAGCCCTGCAGTGGCAGGAGAACACTGACCCAGCCAGGAGCTCAGTGCTGTCCTGCAGCAGGCTCTGGGACACGGCCTCCTAAACCAGCTGGGAACCTTTTTCTGTTTTTGTCCTTAGTCAATGTTAATGTTTGACTCTATCATCTGATGCTGATCGATGGATGACACAATCCCAGCTCTTCTGAGAATCAAACTAGAGTAGCATTGTACAAGAAAAAATGCAGTGGTTAACAACTTTTTTCAACTTCTCTTTCTCCTTTTTGTTGTTTTTTAAAGAAACACTTTTTTCATGGTTTTTTGTATTTCCATGCATAAGCAGAAAAGTGACCCAAAACATGCAGGGGGAAAGGTTTGATTTCCAAACTTTATTATTCATATCAGAGCATACTCTATAGACTTCTTACAAACAAAGATTTGTCTGTATGAATCCAATGCAGTAATAGCTGCCCTTTTAGAATTAACATCTCGACAATGAAATGTCAAATAAAGGGAAATACTTGTTGTATGAAACAAGATTAATGTTCACCTCAAATATGAAACTGGCATTTAAGCAGGAGTTTCTGATAGAAAAGAAGTTCCTGTGGTAGCTGTGAGGGGAGGGATGTAGAGAAATGCCTTTGCTATTTCACTTAGTTTGGTCTCTAAAATAGAGAAAATGATTAATTTTGTATTAGTATGAGTTCAGCTTCCATTAATGCCACTTCCATGCATCCCTAAGAAATGAAGAATCTGATTACAGAACTTGGTTTTATCGTCTAGTAATTGTGGTACAAAATGACTGCTGCAAGAAATTATTTCCCCAGGTAAGAAAATGAGCGCTCAACGATATATTGGTAATGATGAAGTAAGAAATTTGAGAATTACTTCTTCACCTAAAATTCATGGTTTATTTCAGTTCCACTGATGGAATTTTTCATTTTTTTCAATGATCAGTCACGACTCTCACCCCTTGGTATGTATATACAGAAGTGTTATGTGCCAGCCTCAGCAGGTACAACCACAAACCAAATGAGCGTTTTTACAGGAGACAGTTTGCTTTTATAGTGATCACACACTGATGTGAACATCGACTAAAAATAACAAATGTTGTTTTAATAAGGATTTTTTACAGTAGGCATAGATATAAAAGTTTTTTCAAATTATTTTCACAGGTATCACTGAACATTTCATAGCTGTCTGTTACAGAAGCACCGCCAAGTGCTTTGAGTCTTTCATTTATTATACACAGTTAAAATATATTACACTTCTGAAGGTATCTTAAATCACTGAACAGTTTTGCTAGCATCTTAATGAGCCAAATGGGAGTAAAAGGCAGTCCACATTCATGATGTGAATATACAGTAAGGTGTTTGACATCCTATGAACTCATTGCTCATGTTCTCAAAATAACCATGGTGATGAGACCTGAAAGACAAGAATTAAGAACTAAACACTTCTATTTCACTCAAAATAAAACATTTAAAATAGTTTACCCTGTCACAGGCCAGAAAATATGGTAGAAGTGCACGAATGCATGCAGAATGCATTTATACACACACTTAAATATTAGAAGTAATGCTCCAAATTTTGATATAGTCAAAAATCAACACTGATGTGTGATGTATCTAATAACTGAATGTCAAAGAAGGTAGAAATACTCCAAACAATTATTGTCCTCTCTGCTGGAACGTCTTAACACTGAACTTTTGACTGGGCTAACTGTAACACCAAACCCCATTCCTCATGGGGGCCAGTTATGGGCAGTGTCATTGGAATGCTGAATCATCAGTAAGGCAGATCAGTTGAAGGCTCCAAGGCTTTTTTCTGCTCTGTGAATAATAACTGATCAAAGACCAGTTTTAACAAAGATGTTAAGCTTCCTTGTCAGTTTGCAGAGGGAGCTTTCAACAGACTCTTTGTTGTGACCTTTAGAGAGGGAGGAAAAAAATGACTGCTCTGATAGAGGTTAAAAACTATTAAAACCAGATGAAAACAGGAAACAGGGTCTAATAAACCTACCCATGACACATTGAAAAGTTCATTTTAATTATATGCTGATACAGGAAAAAGTACAAATCTGCAGGTTTTAGCCATGGGTTATATTGCACAAGGTGAGGTAGATGGAAGAACACAGGAGCTCCCTGACTTCCAGCCTTATGTAACATCAAAATAACAATTTATCAGTTCTTGAGCAATCTCACTTTCTAGCAGGCTCAGATGATGTCACTGTAACAGCTTTTCACTGCAGAAAGCTCAGCTAAAACCTACAGATCTCACCATGGATAAAGACATTTCTGAAACTATTTTATCTCCTGCCACTCCACACTGATGGAACTTGGCTGCTTTATGAAGATGGTGAAGGCAGAAGCACTGTCTTCCATTAGATCAGCAATTTATCCCTTAAAGAGGAACTACAGCTCAGCTATTTATCAAGGTCTGTGCTGGTTCAGACAATCAGTGCTCCCACAGCTGCTGGATCCTTAGCTTGGATCAATTCCATCACCTCAGAGGAACAGCAGAGGCTTCTGCAGAACAGCCTGCACCACTTGTACAAGGCCTTCAGACAATAAAGGGTTTAACTCACTTCTGTAAGTCAGATACTTCTCAAATATCATAGACTCCTGTTGGTGGGGTATAACAATCCTTTCCAATTAAATGCTCCACAATCCAGTTGCACTTCCTTGTGGAACAAAGTGGTTTCAACTCCTCAAGAGCAATTGACTTTCTACATGAGCAAGAGCTGCACACAAAAGAATCTGTCCATGAACACTAAAAGCACTGCCAGCAAAGAAGTCAAAACCTCTCAAAACTTCATAGGGAATCTAGAAACAAGTTCAGTTTTTGCAAAAGTATAAAGTCAAAAGGCTTAAAACTGACACCAGCGGAACCTGGAGTAATTTTCAAAAGCAGAAATAAAAACCAAGTGAGGATTACTGCAAGGTCCTGATCTGAGAATCCATCAGCATCAGCCTGGGCAAAGAGCCACAAGTGAGATTTCAAACCACTTCAGCAGATGGACCTTTGTGAGTCAGCAGAGTGTGCATGAACCACCAGAACTTGCACTTTTCCCCATCACTACCTCACCTCTAGCTATCAGTTTGGAGCTGCCTAGCTCTTTTCCTTTAAATCCTCATTTCTGCCAGGTAGTGGGAGAGGAGAACTGAGTTTAGTGTGACTGTTCTTCAAATCTGAAACAGTTATAGAGAAATAGTCATAATAAATGAAATGTGCAACTCATCCATGCTAGCTAATGCAGGAGCAAGTTACAAATCAGGAAGAACTGGGGACGGTAGTGGTCTCAGACAGGGTTCACAACAACTTACTGCTACACATATCAACTCCTTATTAAACAGGAACTGAGAATCAAGTCTTGAAAAACAGCTCAGGGGGCTAGAGAGAAACACAGTAACACATTCTACATTCTGCAAGAGATTAACTATTGCAATGCAAGGGTAAGAAACAGCCCATTCTGTTCAGGTGTGTTGGCAGATGACTGTTACTGGCCCATCATCAAATAAAGCTGAAATTAGCATGTAGGGGCCTGTGTGCAATAGGTATCAACTCAAATCTGGTCTAAAACACTTACAATAACTAACTTACCCTGCTATCACCATGGCTACAAATTAAGATGTAAGCTGAGATGCAAAACAAAACCTAATGTGATGCTTTGTTTCCATCCAGTTTCCCAAGGCCGCTGGCAGAGACAGGTAAAGTTTTCCAAACTCACAGATTTTGCAGGAAAATGTTTCTAAAACCCAAAGTACTCACCTAAAACATAAGCAGCTACTAACTTTTGATTCACACTTAAGTGGAGGTAGAGAGGCACCAGGGATTCCATTTCCCCCAATGTAGGTAGCATTAGTGCTGCAACACACACCACTCCAAGGAAGACTGTGAGTAAACTAGGTCCCGACGAGGCAGTTCTGTTTTCTGAAAAGCAACAAAGCCCCAATTGTAAGGAAGATCTAAATAATATAAACCTTAAACATTCTGCAAAAATGCCTGCAGTGCATGGGAGCTGAAATATCCTCAGATTTTCCTTTTTGCTCTGCAGTTTGCAGGGGGTGGAAGCCAAGTCTTAAACCCACCCTTCTAAACCTCCTGCATTCTGCAGTGGAGGAGGCTGCTCCCTGTTCTGATGCTGGAACTTGTTTTCACATGACTTCCCAAACCACTCCCTTGTGGAGGAACAGAGCCTGCCAGGCCCAGTTGCTATATATACACACTCAGGACAGCTGGATGGCTCAGCAATGCTGAGCTTTCCCTGTGCATCCTGACTCCATTCCTTGATATGTTCCTTCAGTGATCAGTAATCCAGAGCACCCAAAAGACCTGCAGAGGCAGGTAACTGCTCACACCTCCTGAACAAAACCTGCCTGCAGCAGGAGCACAGTTTCTTGGGCCAGATGAGCTCCCCTTCATTCTTTATAGGGTTCAAGGGCTATACCTGAGCCAGTCAGCTTAGATGTCACAAATCAGTAAAATTTGAATCTTACTTTAAAAAGTGTGAGAGTGAACTACTCTGACAGTCCAGTATTACCAGAATAAGAAAATGCAAACCACAGACAATAAAGAGTCCTTCATAGTCTTTTTTGTCCCGCACTTTAACAGCTGGAACCTACTCAAAGGCCCACTGTGTCATCTTTGAAAAGAGCTGTTAACATGTTAGCTGAATACCTCTAAACAAATCCTTATTATCACTGGAAAATAGCCAATGTTTTTATCAACTTCTATCCTCAGCAACCAGCAATATGTGCTCTATTTTAATTCCATAAATCTTATTTCCAGGTTGCAAAACTGCAGTTTCTTTGTTTACTGCTGCTTCTTTTACTGCAATATACCACAGTCAATGAGGTTTCTAAGCAGAGAAACAGCATTTGGAATAAGACCAGTATGAGATTGTTCAGGGTGGCTCAGGCCCTCTGTCCTGGATCAGCTATCACAGGAACATTTTGTTCTGTGAGCCCAGAGACCTTTGTAGGTTTGCTTTAACTGTGTATCCTACTAATATCTATTATGAAGGGTTTTTTTAATAAAAAGTGTTTCACCAGACAACAAACTCAGTATAAATAGTGAAACATCCACTTTAACAACATGAATACTCTCAAGGAGGTTCATCTATTTTCTGGAATTAGTTTTTGTTGTCCTGAAAAATATAACAGTGACAAGAACATTTCAGTATGAACCAGTAAAAGCAAGAAGAATGTAGACCATCAAGAATCAGTTTAGATTCATTTCAGGTACAACTTGACACTTTATATCCTATCCCTTCAATTTAACAGTCTGGCCCAGGTTTTCAAGACTGTTGATTCACTTCCTCAGTGTGTGTATGAAACATGCAGAGTTTTCAGCCACCAACTGTGCTCTTCTGTTCTTGTGGGACAGACAAAGCACAGGGCACAGAACAAGGAGCACTTTAGAAGATGTTCTGGCAATATTTCCTGCTCATCAGGAAATGGGGGATTAAGGGTTTGGAACAAACTCACAAGGGGCATATGTTTTGAAAGAGCCCAAGGGAAAAAGTAACTAGCATCCTTTCACAGATAAATTCCCATTGTCTGTGTGAGAACTCCTGCTCCAGAGAACAGTGGATACACTCTCCAAGGTATGACACACAAACACAGGGCAGCAAAGGGCCTTGATTGATCAAGACAGCATAAACAGAATAGCCACAGTTTGGGTTCCTGAATACTGTCATCCTCAAGTGATAAAGACAGCAGTCTTACAGGTAGGCAAAATGAATTATTTAAAAAAAATATTTTAAAATTTATTTCTTTTTAATTTAAAAAATGTTTTTTAATCTAGTCACTTCAGCTATTCAAAACTGATTCAGAACATAGGAGTGGAAAAAGATTTCAGCTACCTGGTTGACACAAAGTCTGCTCAAAAAAGACACTTTCAGCCAGGTGTTCTTTTATTCGTTTTTCCTCCTCTTCCTTTTGTTGTTGTTGTTCCTTTGCAGATGGAAGCAGAGTAGCAATAATCTCCTTTTTCCCCAATGCTTTCCTCTGGCTCTGCTCAGACACTTGGAGACGGAATTTATCTATGACACCATAGTAAGAAGCCCGAACGTCTCTGTGACGAATCACACTGCAGGAAAACAACATTTTCAAACAGATGAACTGCTAAGAATCATGCCTATTGAGAATTATATTCTATATATCACAAAGTCTGCCCTCTGTCCCCCCTCCTCCAGATAAACTGGAATAATCCAGACCTCCTCCACCACTCAGTGTTGTTGAAGACTTATCTTACCTCCTCTCTTCCCTCCTTATGTTTACTTTAATTCCCAAATATAAATGCTCCTGGCCAGTTAAGTCTTTATCTCAAGCCCATCTTTGCCCCTGCTGCCAATTGATGAAACATCAATGATCTGAAAGATGCCCCCTCCTCCTGCATCAAAGTTGTTTGATGCTGGCCAGTGATTTTAAAAGGATTGAGGGGACTGCAGTGGCCAGGGAAGGAAAGGAGCTGGGCAGGTGTTTGGCAAGCAACAGTCCAGCTTCTGGAGGAAACCAGGCTCAAAGCTTTACAATTCTACTTTCTCAGAAGCAAAACTCATTCCCTCTATAGACAAGAGTCAGTTAGGGATTTTCAAAATCAGAAACCCACCACTGAGAGCATGTTTGGAACCTATAAAAAGCACAGCTTTAAAATAGCACTGATCAACAGCAAAACAGACCTCTGAGCAGTGCTGTGCTCAACTGCCTCCTCTCTGCATTTGTGATTCATCATGAGAATACATATCTAGCTTTGAAAAGCTACAACATTTAGGTTTTGAAGTGATATCAGCTCTTAGGGTAAATAAGGATTTCAACTATTTTTCCAGATGTTTTTGTTAAAGGTTATTCTAAGTTTCCAAGATAACAGCAGTTGATCTGAAGAACATACATACAAAGAAGCAGGTTGTCATCTCACGAGGGGGAAAAAATGACTGTACCCTTAGAAACACAGAATAGGAGTCTTAAAATTGCTTCAAAAAACCAACGTTTGTGATACTGTATACATTAAAATGCTGCAGGAAATGGATTTTTGTTTTTCAGTTCTTTTTTAAAGGAACTATATCACATCAAGATATCTACAAGCATGAGCACGTAGCCAGTGCTTGCAACTGGTATCTGGTTTGAATGGACTATTCACCACAGAAACAGAGACCAAGTCATCCCCTCAGCAAGAGGCAGCAGTGATGTTTTACGTCACTCCACAGGCAAAGGAGAGTGCCTATGACAGGCTTCCAGCAAGTGCAGTGTTGGCTGGGCAACTGCCTTCACTGAAACAAAAGGCTTTTCCCCCCCACAAGCCTAATTCATGCAGCTCTCAGCATATCAGCACAGCAGATCAACTCTGATTTCTTCCTTTAACACTTCCTTTTAAATTGGTGTTCCTACTCCCAGTGCCATGGTACCAACTACCAACCTAAACAGAATCTTTACATAACACTGTGCTAGGAGAACATGGATCTGCTGCCAAGCAAGGAGATATTTCTGCAGACCCTTATAAACAGATACATTCTCCTGTTTCTTTTTAGAGATCATTGCATAATTGGAAGCTCTGTAGAATATCTGTTTATCTGGCAAATGGCCACACTTGCATAGTACTGCTCATATCCTAGCAGTAAACACTGTCCTTAGACAGCAACCACTGGAGTGGGATGGGGGGTTTTGCTGCATAGAAAAATCCCCTTGGAACATGTGTCTGCCTTATTTTCCTTTATTTAATAAAACCCATTTGTCTAATCAAATATAATCAAGCTTGTGTAAATGTCTTCTGAAGAATGGAACAGCTCACTGGTACACTGGTATAATTCTGACCTGTTTAGTTCCATTTTTAGCATTGTTGCCCCTGCTTACTGAAACCTTCCAGTTCCATGTTCTAAACTTCCATTCTATTTAGTGAGTCTTTGGAATTTTTCAAATTGCACTTAAAGAAAACAGTCTATAGGAATAAAGAGCCATTCCCCAAGAACAGTTATTTATCTGACGAAGGGTTTCTGTGTATGGCCATTTGTTAGACGGAGAGTCCAGGTGGTGTTTTACAGTTTGGAAAATGTCTATTCAAAAAGTTCAGTCTGCTCTTTTAGGTACTGTAGATTTTCTTCAGCTGTATATTATTTATATTCTATTTGCCACAGAAATAATGTGGTAAATAGAATATAAAAAGAGTTGGTCTATTTTAGCTTTTACACCTACTCTGTTTCAGCAGCCTACAGACCCTGTACATCACTGTGGTCACTTAAGCAGCCCCCTTCTGTTCTGAGTTACTGGGCTGAGACCTGACAGGAGAGATAAAGGGCAGGCACAGAGATCTGAGAATGAGATGGGTGGTCAGGGTGAAAGGTAGGCAAAACTACCTTTATTTACATGGCCCAGGGAAATGTACTCAGTAGAACTGTACACATTTCTATTTTACCAATCTGTAAAGAAATATTTCTCACAAACAAATCTCAACCCTGGGGGTTTTGCTTTTCTTGTTATTTCTAATAAAAAGGTGCTCAGAGAAGGCTCATATTACTCTCACTCCTGGTTTACAAACTACATTACAAGATGCATTTACTGGCATTTTATTTATGCCCAAAGGCAAAATTAAAGAAGGATATATCTCCAGTATTGTAATACCTCTGCTCTAGAGGGACAGAACAGCAAAAATCAAACCACAAGTACATACAGGAGATTAGGAAAACATATATTTCTCCAACTTATGTATTATAACATGCATGCTGTCATTTACAACCTCTTAAATAACAAAGGAAATTAAGGTAATAAAATGTTGTATATTAGGAAAAAACCCAACCAACTTCTACTTACATATCAACACAGCACTGAGGCTTCACTGCACCAGTAGCATCCACCACCGCATATTTATTTGGAGTTGTACAAAGAACTGCAAGGAAAAGGACAGGAGTGGTAACAAATCATGAACTAATACATCACCAGTTCAGCAACAGATACATGTAGAGAGACATGTAGAGTTTGGTTTTGGCACAGATATGATTTTTACATTAATTATAATTGGACTGTTCAAGATCATCAACTAGCCCTTAAATAGAACTTAACCTAAGAAACCCACCTTTGAATTTTAAGGCAAACTCATAGGGGTTATATAGAGTCAACACCTGCTTGTGTGTTGACTGGTCATCTGCATAAAATATAAGTTCTGTAGGAAAAACAAAAACAGGAAGATTTCCTTCCACTAACTCTGGCTGTCTTTTTTGTTGCTGCATTGGCACTGAATCCTCCTTGCTGCTTCTTGTGTTCTTATGCTTTTGTATCCTCAGAGACTTCAGCTTTTGAATCGTTTAAGAATTCCAAAGCATTTTGGCAATTCTAAAGGAAAAAAAAGGGGGAAAAAAAGAGAAAAGGCAAGAAGATTATTTCCATAAGTCTGTACTAAACTGAGGCAGTTAACAAAGGTGCAAAAATACAAAACATGATGCTTGATTATGAATCTACCTCTACTTGGGCTCCTTCAAAAATACTGAAATAGAAAAACAGTATTTGCATTGGGCTTCCATCTATTTAACAAATTGCTACAAAACAAATGGATAAGCACCTCTCCAGTGTATCATGGCACATCTGGGGCCCAGCCCATGACTAGGGCTGCTTATGCTGGGTCTTTACAACACAAACCAAACAACGACAGCAGAAAGCAATCCCATCCTTGCCTCAGGACAGCAACACATCAGAACCACGAGGGCAGAAATGAGGAAATGCAAGGACACTGAGGCAGCAGGAGTCACTGCTTGGGCAGGAACCTTTCCATGGGGATGACCTCCCTGGATGAGGTATAACAGGTTAGGAATCTCCTCACCTAGGCACCCAGGTATGTCAAATCCCAGGGACTCAGAACAAAGGAATGGGGAACACCTTCATGTCTTGTTTAAACCAAACTCCCTGCTCCAACTGCATAGTTACAGGTAATGAATGGGAAAATAACTGAGATGAGTAACAGTAAACAGGTTTGGGATTCACTGCTTTGTTAAGACATGACAGGTTTTCTACCACCTCTACCCAAAGTACAATCATCACAACTCTCCCTCTGCCACCCCCACAGCTGTTTTATTTTGAGTGACATTCCAGAACTAAAACCAGAACCAATGACCCAACCAAGAAACAATCCCAAATGTAATTCATAAAATAAAATTAAGGCCAGACTCCTCAGCACACATACCATTGACTCAACACATGACAGAGAGAACAAAGTCTTTCTCCTCCCCCAGGAAGGTCATATTTTACTGCAGCTTCTATAGATTAATTATCAAACTGAAGGTGTCCTTTGAGGTTTAACTTTATAGCAAAAAGTATTAAAACAAAAAAAAGTTCCTACTAACTCATTAGATGTCATTTCCACTTCCCACAGAGCTTTTTAAAATAAGGTACATTTTACCTGTTCTCCAGCTCAATACACTGGATAGGTGCACCTTAAAGAATTTAGCTTCTGACATTTCTAGCAGCAAATAGCCCAAACATTATGAACAATCAAAAACAAACACTTGTTTCTGCATTCTAAACATCACAACGATCACATTTCCAAGCACCAGATACATATTCCATACTTGAAACATGACACACATTCATGTGTTTACAAAGTACATCTGTCATACCATCAGGTTTACAGGTTCTGATTCTTATTCACAAACTGAGCTTTTAATTTTATTTATTTAGTTATTAAAATAGCAAATTATCCCTGTAGAATTCAAGTTCATGGATCTCACAGGAATGTCTTTCCCCATGATCCAGTTCCTTTTCAGAGCACAGGTTTGTTTCCACTTCACTGAAATGCTACTAATAATATTCTGAAAACAAATCCCCAATGACAGTGTTCCAAGCTGATGTTCTGTTACCTTATTAAGAAGAGTCTAGAAAAAGAAATGGCTCCCTAAGTGGCAATTTGGGTTCTGAGTGCTTCTTGGAATTACAGTGAATCCCTTTTGTTTCAGAAGAATCAACAAACTCTGGAATGACTTTGCACAGCAAGTGTCAGTATTATTTCTTGAACTTCATGCACTATTGCAAAGTGAGTTTCATTGTTCCAGTCAAACATATTAAGACTATATGAAAAGCTAATGTGGAAAAACTGCCAGCACGCAGGAATACAAAATACCTTTTGATGCTTGTCATAGGCAGAAGATGATTTATTTAAATTTCTTATACCAAAGTTAGCTCAATGCAGTATGCAGTAAGAATATGTTGGAATCTTTGGTTCTCATATCTATCTACACTTTGCACACCATGTGTAACAGAAATACAGGCAAATTTTGACATTAACAAAAGGGATTTTTTTCAAATAAATATTTGCAGCTACCATTAAACCAACAGCAAGCTGCTGCTACACAACTTAATTGACTACGCCTAATAAAATCTTCAAGTATTATTTATAATAATCAGTATGATTTTGATGCTTTAGTTTTTTATTTAAACACTGCATGTTTCATTCCAATTCCTGGCTTCATCCCACATCTTCAGTTTCTTCAGCTCAGTCCATGGCAAGTGTTCAGCGTCCAAAACCCCACAATTCTCAGTATCAGTGGAGGTATGGATCACTATGCCTACCAACAGGCTCATTTTTGTTACACATCTGTGTAAAACACTGTGCAAACCTCCCAGGATTCCACAACTAGCATGTGGAAAGCCACCAATCTCAAAAAAGAATATCCCATTATTGCTTCCTTTTCCTATTTAACTTGGCTGGATGAGGAGCTACTTGCCCCAACTTACAAAAGTCATGTCTGGCAGGCATGCAGCAGACACATCTGCTGACACAGCAGCATCATTCAGGGTATAAATTTCTGTATTCCTAAGCAAGCAAACCAGCATCCTTTTTTGGGACAACAGCTTTAGCTTAGAAGTCACCTTGCTGGGACATCTCACCAAGTGACAGTAATAAAAGCACTTTTCCCAAAGACCACACATGTGATAGGGAGATGTGATGGTTTAGTACTGATACTCTTGATAACAGCACACCCTTCCCATTCACGAGAAGCTGGCAACACTTTTACAGAGGAACTTTGTATCACCACAAATACAACAAAAGCTGTATCACCACAACTTCTTTGCACAAATTAACCCCACAGCAGCTCTAATGGTGAGAACAAGGTCATGTACCCCGGAGAGTTCATGAACAGAAACTCAGCTGCTGCTCTTCTGCATCCCCACTGCACCACAACCACTGAATTTTGTGGTCAACAGTCACCACGGTTACTTGCAGATTACAAAAAGGTAAGCACAAGCAAATCTGTCCCAGCCCAGGATCTGTGGTGTCAGCCTGTGATCTGCACTGCACAGATGGGCTTCTCCCAGGATGGAATTCCCACAGGAGCAGGGATCTGTCACAGGTAACATTTGCCAGGGCCAGTGTGCAACACCTGAACAATGCCAGCTCACTTCCCAGCGCCCTTTGAAGTCCTGACAAACAATTGTCACTGGTATTTTTGCAGCACAATAGGGATCTTTCCTCCATGAAGTTACTAAATATATACTGCTGGTGTCACAATAGCACAGATCTGCCAGTGTTTCCTTTGAAATCCCTTTCTTCATAAATTTAACTTGACAGAGAAAAACACAAAGCGAAACGTAACTTCTCTCCAGGGTGAGAAAAAACATCCATTGTGATTTGTTTTTACTTAACAAGTATCTGTTGAATAAATAAATCAACTGAGGAACTTTTTTGTTCTCATTTTAACTTCCAACAGCCTCATCACCATGGCTTCCCAGGGCATTTGTTGGTTGTTTTTCTTCATAACAACTGCAAATAACTCTACAGAATGTCATCAGGTAAACACTTAATTCAGAAGAAAACCTCTTTACAGTCATGCCTCCACACTGCTGCTTTAAAAGTTGCCTAATGACAGTGTAATCTACTTTTGTTACATCTCATGATCTACCTCCTAAATCTACACAAGTCTTTCTACACTTTATACCCAGTAAAACTGATGGGTTTTGAGCACATATTTACCAAATAAACCACAAAGCCTTCAAAATTCCTTCCTATGCCAAGCTGAGCAATCACCTTAAGCTACATGCAAATGCAGCATGGGATCTGAAGCACACCATAAACATTTTGTTTCTCCAAAATGTTTTGAAGGCCTCAACGGGCACTTACGCAAATCAATGTTTAAACTACCTGCAATTATTTGGGAGCGTCACCCAGTGATGAGAGCACAGAGCCAGCAGCCAGGATGGCTGGATTCCATTGTTGCTAACTCTGTCACTGACACTCCATGACCTTGAGCAAGTTGGTTAACCTCACCTCAATTTGCTGATCTATGAAGGCGCACACATTCTACAAAGTATTTCAGTAGGCGGAAGGTCCCCTCTGAACCCGCAGAACTGCTCTGATACTTTGCAAAACTGCTACTGTTTACCCCGCCACAGGATGATGAGAAATGTCACCAGTAACTGTGTCCAGGATGCTGTAAAATGAAATAGTCTCAGAGCATTAACTATTACCATGGATGACCACATGCATAAATCATGCTGACACTGACAGCAAAATTTATTAGGACCACATTATTGTTCCAAATGCTGAAAAGGTGACTAACAAAAGGAAATACCCAAATACAACTAAGAGGCATGAAAAGCAGTGAAAAATTAAGTAACAGCTGTGCATTGGTTCTGATCCATTCTGCTACAGGCTCGCAAGGATCCTAGAGAAGACATTCAAGGGCACATGTGCTTTAGTCTCTATTTCCCCACTTTAAGTTTGTGTTTAATACACTAAACTGGCTGATTTTTAAACGTGTGTTGTGCTCATTAGCGCTGCGTGGCCCCAAACCGCCTCGGCTTAACAGAGGGGAGCACTCTGCCCTGGGAGAGCGACGGGAGCCAAGGCGTTCCGAGCCGTGCCTGCTGCCGGCAGGGCACGGCGGTAATTGCACACTCTTAATTGATCCTCTTTGTTCTCCAGCGAGGAGCGG